TTTTTTCTTTCTGGAGGGTTAATATCGCCTTCCCTCAGCTCTGTGGGTGAGTAGATGTGGTGTACTTTTGATCTGAATGATCCGAGGACATTGGGTCCTGTTACTGTATGCTAATGAGGAAGTGTGTGTGTTCAGAAGGTTCATGGATCTATCATTGTTTTGCCTGTTTCATGTCAGAGTTATACTGGTCTCATAAAGGAGTTAGGAAGCACTCGCTCCTCTTATTTTCTGAAGTTGGGTGTGTTAGGTTGGTTTTGATGCTTCCAAAAATGTTTATTAGAATTTATTAGTGAAACTATCTGGGACTGAGATTTTCTTTATGATAATTTTTAGATTATTGTTGAGGGCCACAGCTGAGTGGGAATGACACCTGGCATTTTGCCAGAGGGAATGGTTGAAAGGTGACAGCCAGCAAGCTATTGAGATGATGATGGTTAGTTAAGCTGTGYATTCAGTTGTATATTAGACCTTTGCTGTTCGGCAATAGGGCGGCTCTTGCCCGCTACTTTGGAGTTCCCATTGAGTTCTCCCGAGTTGGCGCGGAGCCTGGGGAAGAGCTGGGAGAGTTCCTGGGGAGTGTGCATGGAGTGCTGGTGATAAAGTTTCCTGTTTGAACATACAAGTGCTTTGTGRCGGCTTGGTGTTTTCTGCCCAGCCAGACTGCGGCAAATTATAAATTTAATATCTGTAATAGAMAATAAGAATATGCAGACTTCAGGGTTTTTTTTGAATTAATTTGGTGTAAGCTACGTCTTTAAAGGAATTAAAATGCTGGATTATTGGCTGATAATTGTTTCTGCTCTTTATTATTTACCTTTCACTTATTTCTAATTTTATTTGCTTTATTTTTTTGTTTATTAAGGTGAAAGTTTATCAGTCGAAGACTTTCTTGTTGGTTTCTTTTCTTATGTGAATGTTCTAAGCGCCACACCAGTGGATCCTGCAGAGTTTGATATGCTTTCCTTTAATCCAGTTCAAACTATCTTCTAACTTCCCTTGTGATTTCTTTGACCATAGATTATTTAGAATTAGGTTAATTTTCTTACAGTCAAGTTTCTAGATGTTTTCTTGTTGATTTTAATTCCATTATAGTCAAAGAGCATTTTCTGTAATATTTCAGTCTTTTGGAATCTCTTTAGGCTTGTTTTATGGCCCAGTATAACATCAGCCTTGGTCAGTGCTCTTGGAGAACTTGAAAAGATGATAAATTTGTCAGTTGTTAGAAGAGTGTTTCATAGTTATCAGCTAAATTAAGCTTAATATTGTCACTTAGATGTCTCATATCTGTCCTGTTTCTAGTCCAGTTTTATCAGTCAGTGAGAAGTATGTTAGAATTTCCAACTATGATTATGGATTTGTTTTCCCTTAGTTTTTGTTTGTTTTGAAGTTATCGAATGCATGCAGTTTTTTTTTTTTTTTGTGGGGGGGGACCAGGGATTGAACTCAGGGGCACTTGGCTGTTGAGCCACATCCCCAGCTCTATTTTATATTTTATTTAGAGACAGGGTCTCACAGAGTTGCTTAGTGCCTCGCTGTTGCTGAGGCTGGCTTTGAACTCACAATCCTCCTGTCTCAGCCTCCTGAGCCACTGGGATTATAGGCATGTGCTGCCATGCCCGGCTGTGTGCCATGGGTATGAAGTTTTTTAAAATATATATATATTTTAGATGTTGATGGACTTTTATTTTATTCATTTATTTCTTAGTGGTGCTGAGAATTGAACCCAGTGCCTCACATAGGCAAGGCAAGTGCTCTACCACGGAGCTATAACCCCAGGTCCCCCTCCCCATTTTCTGTTTTAGTAGTACTTTAAAGTCTACTTTGTTTTACAATAATATATCCATTTAATCCTTGATGATTTTAATGTTTTGATGTTACTTTTAGTTTGTTTCTTTCTTTATATTTAAAGCCCTTCTTTAAATATTTGAATGTAGTTGGTTGTTGCTTTTTTTCCTAATCCAACCTGACAATCTCTGCCCTTTTATAGGGATGTTTATATCATTTATATCTAAAGTAATTATAAATATGTTTCTTTTCTAGGTCTATCATTTTGTACCTTTTTAGAGAGGGGATTTTATTTGCCTTTTCCCTCTTTCGCATTAATCTATTTTAAATTCCATTTTAATTTTCTTAGCTTATAGCTATATCTTTGCGTTTTTGTGTATAGTTGATCAGCGATGTCACAGTCTACTTTAGCATTAATATTGAATCTCTGTGAATGTAACATTGAAGTTTTCCAGTAATGTTTTCATTTCTCCTTTTAATCATTGTATTGTCATGTGTTATGTTTATATACTTTGCAAACCCGCCACTAATGGTTTTAACATGTTGCTTTAAGCTGTTATCTTTTATAGGGTGTGCTTATTATATATACCCACTATAATTACCATTCCTGACTCTGTTTCTGCCTGTAGATCCATCTTACCAGCTCCTATATTTTCCATTTGGATTAGAGAATCTTTTTTAGTATTTCTTGTAGCACAGATCTGCCATGACAGATAGCATATTGGAAATACTTTCATTTAAAGGGTAGCTGTGCTGTGTGCTGGAATTCTGGGTTGAGAGGTTTTTTCCCTTCTCTTCAGTGGTTAAGATGTGGTGCCAGTGTCTTTGTGTGTCCATAGTTTCTAGTGAGCAGTTGGTTTTGTTCTGAGCATGATTGTCATTGTTTTCCTGTCTGTGTCATGTCATTGTTTTCCTGTCTGTGTCATGTCATTGTTTTATAGCTACTTTTCAAGATTGCCTCTCTTTGGCTTTTAGCAGTTCAGCTAAAATGTGTCTGGGAGTTGTTTTATTTGTTAATTCTCTTTGAGGTTTGTTGAGCTTTTTGGAGGTTTTTAGATTATGTATGTCTCTCTCTGTCTCTCTCTGTCTCTCTCTCTCTCTCTCTCTTTATCTATATATATATATATATATATATATATATATATATATATATAATTTTCCCCCCCCTTATCCTTTCCTGGCCCCTGCAACATTCCAAGTAGTACACTACTTCCTATTGTGGCTTATGTCATTGAATTCTACTCATTTTTTTTGTTCCGATTATTCTGTATTCAAGTTCATTGCAGATGTTAGAAGAAAGCATCAATCTTTTGCTTTGCCAATCTAGTTGGAATTTATTTTAATAAATGTTCAGATCTAGAATTTTCACTTTTCAAACTGCATTTTCTTTGTTGAAATTGTCTTATCTGTTCGTTTATTGGTACCATATTTTCCTTCAGTTTCTTGTGCAAGTTTTAAAAAATTCTTTGACACACTTATAGCTGCTAAGTCTAATATCCAAGGCCAGTGGAATCTATTTTGATTTACTCTCTTTTTGTTTGCATATTGGTCATGCTTTTTTGAAAATTAGACATACTATAATGAGTTGGAACTCTTTTGTGTTCATATGAGGATTATTGGGGTTTTATTGTAGCAGACAATGAAATTGCTCGGAGTCAAACCCTGTGGTTCGAAGCTGATCATCTCTCTCTCTGCTCAGTTTTTATGTCTTCCGCTGATTCTTCTTCATTCCGCCCTGGTTKCTCTTCTCCCCTGTGCCTGCAAGACTTGGAGGTCGGTGGAGGCTCTGGGCAGAGTGGTCCTGCTCCCTTTGTAGTCTTCTTTCTTGCTGGGTTCCCCTGCCTTCTAGCTACTCTGCCATCCTTGAGCTCGCGCTCATGACACTTGAGGCTTCTGCCCCCCCAGCTGAGTGTGGTTGGTAGAAAGCACCCCATTCACAGATCTGGCTCCATGTTAACTCCTTACGAAGAGCTCTTCCAGGTCTTGGCTTCTTTTACCTTGCTGGCTTGGAGTCCTCGGTGCCACGTGGTTAGGCTGTCAGTGAAGATTTCAGTGTTTGGTGCTCTGCATTTGGGTGCCACTCCTGCAATTCTGGTGCTGTCAAAATCCTTTAGATTTATGGTTGCTTCTCAACTCTAAATTCTGATTAGGTTATAGCTTGGTATGGCCATAGTTGTGTGGATTGAGAAGTGCTTGTTTGGGCTGGGGATGTGGCTCAAGTGGTAGCGCGCTCGCCTGGCATGCGTGCGGCCCGGGTTCGATCCTCAGCACCACATACCAACAAAGATGTTGTGTCCGCCGAGAACTAAAAAATAAATATTAAAAATTCTCTCTCTCTCTCTCTCTCCTCTCTCACTCTCTCTTTAAAAAAAAAAAAAAAAAAAGAGAAGTGCTTGTTTTAGGCAGGTTTTTTTTTTTTTTGGGGGGGGGGAGGGCTGTCAATGACCAAAGTACCTGACAAGAACAATTTAGAGGAGGAAAAGTTTATTTGGGACTCATGGTTTTAGAGGTCCAGTGCTTAGATGGCTGACTCCACGCTCTGTGCCTGAGGYGAGGCAGCATGTCCTGGGAGAAGCTTCTCAGCTCCTGGCAGGGTCAGAAGCCCACAGAGGAAGGAGCAAAGGGCTGCAGGGAAGGTGCACCCTTCCAGGGCACCCCGCAGTGACTCACCTCCTCCAGGCATACTCTCACCCCCAGCCCCCCAGGTTACCACCCAGTTCATTAGGTCACAGCTCTCACTTGCTCATTTTTCCTCTGAGTGTTTCTGCATTAACAGGAGCATTTGGGGGACACCTTTCATTCAAACCATTGTTTTTAAGCCAAAAGGTCACAAATTTACTATTCTTCTTGCTCAGGTTGTGGTTTTAATTCTTAACCTGGCTCTTTTAACCCCTGACTTTAGATGGTCTGTTTTTTGTTTGTTCTAGTCCACTTATACATGTCACCTGCGGGTGTTCCAGTGTCCCCCTCACAGTCAGCCATTATAGAAAGTTGACTTGTAGTTTGGGAATATTAGGGCATGGATGACCTGTTTTGTAAGCATGCATATCTTTCTGCTGTGCTTTCATTGCTTTTAGGGTCATTTTTCTGTTCAGTTTTTTTAAATGCAGGTGACTTTGTGTGAGATTTAACCACCATCCTTTTTCTGTAGTTAATTTTTATTTGAAATTAGTTTCTGTGCACTTTCTAGGGGGATGGGCCAGGAGAGGTTTTCTGAAGCCACAGCTCTAGAGCTCCCCCTTCTGTCATCGCAGTGAGTGTTTGAAAATGTGTGCGGCACTCTCAGGCTCCACCTCCCCTTCCACCCTCTCTTTCCACTGCCCTCCTCTCCCCTCCCCTCCCCTCCGCTCCTCTATGTGCTCTTCCCAGCAGTTTTTGGTGGAGGGGTGCTGGAGGGGTGCTTTGGCTGCTTTCAGGATCTCCAAGGCTTGAGAGCAGCAGTCCCTTTCCACCTGACCAATCCCTGAGCTCACCTGCACATGGAAATGTGTCAGACCCTGTGGTTTAGGCTGCTGTTCTGACGTCCTCTCACTGTTGCAGCCAGGACCTGATGAATGTGCTGGGTGCTTCTGTTCCCACCCACTGACACCTTTTGCCTGTTTCTTCCTCCTGCACAGACTCTGATACATTGGGTCTTTGGCTTTTGCTGATATGTTCCTGCCCAATATATTTTGTAGCTTGTGGGATACTAGAACTTTTTCTTTGGCTGTTATCTGAAGATTTAGGTTTTTACCGAGGGAGCCAGGGAGATGGAAAGCCGCCTCAGATGCCCCTTCTCCCTTATTTCCTCATGTCTTGAGGTGTCAGGTTTTATCCTGCTTCAAAGGCTGGAATGTGGGTAAGCATTCTCAGGAAGCTGCCCTGCAACTGAGGTTGATATTAGGCAGGTTTCCTGATGGTCTCCGTTCCCTAGTCACCATTTTACTTGAGAGGGTAGCCGGGGATCTAGCCTGCCTGTGTGGGCTCCAGGGTGACCTCCCACCGCCCACAGCTTTGTGTCCTGACCACTAGATCACAGGCATCAGCACRTGTTCTTGGTGTATTATCTCCAGATTTGATTACTTTCTTAACTTTTTTTTTTTTTTTAGGGTCCTGGGGATTGAACCCAGGGCCTCATGGATGTGGGGCAAACACTCTACCACAGAGCTACATTCTCAGCCCTTGATATTTAAAAAAAWATTTTTACCTGTATATTACTCAAGATATCCCTTTTTGCCCACTTGAGTGATACCTTTTAAAAGTATTTGAAAGATACTTTACTCAACTGTGTGTGTGCAGATAAGGTCCTAGAAAGGGACCTAGAAAGGACCTTGTTGACCACATTGGTGAAAATGAAAATTTCATTTTTTTTCCTTTAAACTTGTCTGATCCTTTTTATCACGACTTCTGTGCCATGGCTCATCACACTTTCTTTTCTGTCTTAATCCTTTCTGACTTTGGAAGCCTTTGCTTTCTCTGTGTGTTCTAATGCTTTGCTATCCTCTCCTTAAGAAACCAGTCTAGAGGCTGTAACTTTTGTGCAGTGTTTTGGATGTTCAGTCACGTAAGACCCACCTCCCAGTGTAGATGGTAGGGAGAGGAAAGAGGAACTCTCAGTTGTAGACTGCTCCTGCCCTGGCCACACCCACATCTCACAGACCAGAGGCTGTTCCTGTGAGAGAGGTCCAAGGCACAAACATGCTTAATCACCCTCTTCCTGTGCTGGGACTGAGACCCAGGGAAGGTAATTATTGAATCATGACCAAGTGCAAGAGTTTAACCCACATATTCCTCACAGTCACTGTAAGGCAAGTGTTAGTCACCCCCTTTTTTTTCTTATTTTTTTTTATTGGTTGTTCACAACATTACAAAGCTCTTGACATATCATATTTCATACGTTAGATTGAAGTGGGTTATGAACTCCCAATTTTACCCCAGATGCAGATTGCAGAATCACGTCAGTTACACATCCACAATTTTACATGATGCCCTATTAGTAACTGTTGTATTCTGATACCTTTCCTATCCCCTACTATCCCCCCTCCCCTCCCCTCCCATCTTCTCTCTCTACCCCATCTACTGTAATTCATTTCTCTCCTTGTTTATTTTCCCATTCCCCTCACAACCTCTTATATGTAATTTTGTATAGCAATGAGGGTCTCCCCTCATTTCCATGCAATTTCCCTCTTTAGTCACCCCTTTTATAGCGAAAGAGAATGGAGCTTCAGTTATGTTGAAGTATCTCAAGGACTTCCATCACTCCAGGGCTGTATGTCCTGGCCAGCAGCCTGGGAGCCAGAGAGCACACCCCTTTGACACCAGTGCTCTGGCCTCTCCCTGCCTGGAAATCAAGCTTAAGTGGGTTGGTTTGGTCCCTCCCTGGCCCCCTGCTCCAAGCAGCAGAGCAGCCTCCCACTGTTAGTAGACCTGGTGCCTGTCTCCAGCCTGACTCAAACAGACTGCTGTCACCAGTCAGAAGTATGGTAACACATCCCTGTGCATTGCCTGTCCTATGGCCAGTGACAGAAATTACTAGTTCTTTGAGAAGTGCTTTTTGGTGGCAAGATTAACCTGTAAGAAGAAGCATTAGACTTGATAACTGGACTTTTTAAGGTCACCACTTAAATGAAAACACAAAATTGGTAAATCGTGTGCATTATTGGCTCATGTATATTTGTCCCATATCTATGCCTTCTCCTCTCTTCTCCCACCCCCCCATTTTGGTACTGGCGATTGAACCCAKGGTGCTTAACCACTGTGCCACATCCCTAGCACGATCCCCCCCCCCCTTTAAATTTACTTTGAGATAGGGTTTGCTAAGTTACTTAGGGCCTCACTAAGTTGCTGAGCCTGASTTTGAACTTGTGATCCTTCTGCCTCAGCAGGTGTACACCGCCATGCCCAGCTATACATTTATCTCTGTGTTCCAGATTATATAATTTTTGAATATGATTAAAGTAAGGGAGAAATAGTTGGTAGTAGATCATACTTAGTAATGATTTTAGTTGAAATAAAGGTTTACATAAAATAAACTATACAAAAAAAAAGCCACATTAGACTGGAAGGCACTTTTAAATAGCAGTAAGGTATGTAAACTAATGTCTTAGGACTCTAAAAGCTATTAATATGCTAATCAACGAGTTAATTTTCTTTTTCCTTTCAACTTGTGAGTCAAGTTTGTTTTATTTTTAGAGAATTTTAAAATCAAATTCAAGGGCTGGGGCTGGGGCTGTAGCTCAGCAGCACAGTGCTTGCCTAGTTAGCATGCATGAAGCACTGAGTTCCATCCTCAGCACCACATAAAAATAAACAAATAAAGCCATTCTGTTCATTTACAACCACAAATAAAATCAAACTTGATAACTCATGTTAATATAGATACTTTAGCACTGAAGAAATGTTAGAACTTGTATTAGGCAGGGTACAGCCAGTAGTTAGCAGCCACACCAGTAATTTGAATGGGTGGAATTTTGAATAAAGAGTTGGTAGGTGTTAGGATTCTCCAGAGGAATAACCAACAGGGTATACATAGATATGTAGAATCATTTCTTACAGGAGTTCGTTCATGTGATTATGGATGTTGGAAAAAGTGTCTACCGCATGCCATGTGCAAACTGGAGACTAAGGAAAACCAGTGGAACCCAGACTTGGAGGCCTGAGAACCAGGGGAGCCATGACGTTGAGTTCCAGTCTGAGTGCAAAGGCCTGAGAACCAGAAGCACCAGTGTTGGAGAGCAGAGGTGATGTCCCAGCTGAAGCAGAGAGTGAACCAGCCCTTCTTTTGCCATTTTGTGCCCACCCACATTGGGGAGAGCAGTCTTGCTCACAGTTGCCCATTCAGGTGCTGACCTCTTGCAGAGACACCCCTRTAGACACACCAGATGTAGTGCTTTACCAGTGCCGTGGACATAACTTAGGCCAGTCAGGTTGACATATAAAAAACTAACTGTCACCAGCGGGTGAAAGAAGGCTACCCACAGAAGTGGCACCCACAGAAAGCAGCTAATGAAGAGGGACAAGGAAGGAATGTAGTGGAGGACAGCCTGCCTGCTGCTAAGCTTCCTACCACCAAGGGTGTATGTGTCCCATAAGAACCCAGGACYGGCCAGCACTGAAGTGAACTGTGGGGGCCTGTGTGCAGACCTGCCGGCTGACGGACTGGCTGGTGCCACCTGGAAAACGCTCAGCAGAAGAAGGAAGGAAAAGGGAGGATACCTCCCTACAGTGTCCCTTCAGCACCCTCTGTTGGCAAAGCAGCCGTGTCAAGTCAGCTGTCCAGTGTCACACAGCAGGGCAGACAGTTTGGAGTTGAGTGTAAATTCACACCTCCTCTGTTGCTCCCAGAGTGGTCTTTCTAAAACGGTGAAATGATCCTTGCCTTCCACTACCAGAGCATTTTAATGGCTCTTAATATTTAAAAAATTATTTTGGAGTAATTTTAGACTTGCAGAAAAGTTGCAAAAGTAGTACAGGATCCTCAAATACCTTCACCCAACTTCCTGGATTTTTACATCACTCATAGCCATAGCACAGCCATCAAAACCCAGAAACTCAWTGGGACATGACTTTATATACACGGCCGGCCTTTATTCACATTTCACCAGTTTCTTCATTAATGTCTCTTTTCTGCTCCTGGATCCAGTGTTGCATTTAGTTGTCATTTCTCTTTAGTTCTCTTTCAATCTGTGACAGTTCCTCAGTCTTTCTGTTCATGACCTYGACATTTTTAAAGAATAAGTTATTTTGTAAAAAAATCCCTCAATTCAGTGTTAGTACACTTTTGGCAAGAATTTCACAGAAGCGATGTTGTCGTCTTCTGCATTTTTTCAGGGCCTCTATAACAAAACACAGACTAAGTGGCTTAAAGAGCAGAAGTTGACTTTCTCACAGTCTGGAGGTCAGAAGTCTTGTGCAAGGTTTGAACTGGTTTGGTTTCATCTGAGGGCTTTCTTCCCCCAGAGGACCAGAGTTTTGCCATCCTCTAGCCATGTTCCTGTGTGCTCTGTCCTCTGCATGCATGCAGCTGGGGTCTCTGTATACAGATTCCTTGTAAGGGCTCCAGCTCTGTTGGATGGGGCTACCCACAGCTCTCATTTAACATAATTCTACCTCTGAAGGCCTGCCTCCCAAGCAGCCATATTCTGAGGTTGTGAGGATGGGGGCTTCAACTTATAAATGGGGTGGGGGGGTGTTCAGCCCTTCTCTCGCGCATCAGTAGGAAGATATATGATGTCATACTTTTTTTAAAGTTGTAGATGGACACAACATCTTCAT